ATCAATCAATCAATCAATCAATCGCGGGGTGGGGCGACCCCTCCCCCACCAGTCAATCAATCAATCAATCAATCAATCAATCAATCAATCAATCAATCAATCAATCAATCAATCAATAAAAAAAAAAGAACAAAAATCGAAGAAATTAATCAATCAATCAATCAATCAATCAATCAACCAATCAATCAATCAATCAATCAATCAAAGGCAAGGCGGGGCGACCCCGCCCCCACCAATCAATCAATCAACAGAAAATAAAAAATAAAAAAAATCGCGTTCTTTTTTTTTTTTCTTCATTTCTTCTCATCCCCCCCAACCAAAAGATGTTATTTTTCCATTTTTTTTTGTGTGGGGGGGTGGGGCCGGGGATGCGCTGCCGAATGGCGCTTCCCGAATCCCGAACCGTTCCCTCTGGCCGCCACGTGGCGCCAAAGCCGCGCATCCGTGCGGACGTGTCCGCGGGCTGCGCGGCCGCGGACTTGGCCGCGGTTGTCCGCCGCCTAGGGGGATTCATAGCCTGCCACGTTGCAACAATTGTGTGAAGTTCAATGACATCAAATATGTACGACCCAACTGAAAGGTCATTCCGTCAATTGGAACAACAACGAGATGGAGAGGACAAATTACATGGCCACCACAGCTTCAGAAACCACGAAAAGACACAAGCCAAAAAGCGACAGAATGGCAAGAACCAGACTGCAGAGATGGGAAATGGAGCAAAAATACAGTGGGCCAGCTTCCGGCAGCTTCGCTACAGACAGGCCCACACAGGCCCTGTGCCAGCCCGCTCCTCTCTTCTGGCAATCTTGCGTTCCCTTGTAGCCTTGCTCTTCGCAACGGCGCTTCTCCAACTGGTTGGACAAGCTCCTCTCTTGAGGCGTGTCTGCCTTGGACTTATGGATGCTCTCCATCAGCACAAGCTTATACTTGAACACATTACCCTTGACCTTCATGTGCATGGCAGGGTACATGTGTTTGTCGATCTTCTTGGCATCACAATACTTGCAAAGGAGCCTCCTCACTGTCCTCAGCACACGCATCCTCCCTCCACATCCAGCGAACTTTAGTTAGGTAGCCTGGCCTCGCGAGTTCCCCGTCTCTTACCGTATGCAGTATGCAGTATGCAGTCCCACATCCGTCCGCATGTAATCATAATATCCAATAACAGGTACATACTACTCACGAGCCACTGTGTCCAAAGCCAGACGACGACGTATTGCGGGTATGTCATCAGCGGTGAAAGAGAAATGCGGAAGGTGACCCGTTGCCAAGAGTGATGCGTATGTGAGCATGAAGACCCCGCATAAGTTCGCGTCACGTTGTTTCGGGATGCCCTCTACGCTCCATATGTGATTGATTGGTTTCGTGTCCACTTCTTTGCCTTGCTCAATTTATCTTTCGAATAGAAACATCGTAAATCAGCCGGTCACTTTTCTTATCAGTTCCATGTCGGGGCTGAGGGAGTTATAAAATTCGAATTACCTCCTTCTGAAATCAGCCACAACGAGGGTCCAGTGGTTCATGTGTGCGATATGGAAAAGGGTAATGATCAAATCCATGTCACTTATTATGACGTCTTTCGACCAATGGTGCACCTCTCACTCTGGATACCTCATTTCGCTGTCGAAAAGTTTAGTGAAGAAAAATGAGTGCACCACTGATATTCTAGGAATGCGACTCTTTCCTGTTCTAATCATAGTTTCATTCTCTGCGTCGCATTCTACATGTGCGATTCTACAACAATTGTCTAGTGCGATGAGGTTTAGGTAGAAGTTGACGATGTTGTCATTTAACAAGTTACGTTCGCCGATGAGTAAAATGAAATCGTCTCGAGTAAGCTTCAAAACATCGTTCGGCCCGTAATTGTGTGTGCTTGCTATTGGAAACTTATTCCCGTATTCTCAGATGACATGTGATAGTGCTTTCATCTCCTTCTCTGATAAAGACGACATTGCGAGGCGCATTGTCCACCCACTTTTGCACTTTCTTGCATCCGTTGATGTAATTTGCACTGCACACAACAAACACGACGAATACGACATTGATGTGGGTGTAAAAAATAGTGGCTGATAGTGGGGGGGCAAACGTGGAGGGAAGGGGGGGTGAAATCCTTATACATGGTCAAGTGCCTTACCATAGCATGATCAATGGATACGATGTATTCAAAATATGTCATCAATGTTTCTCTAATCTTATACTTACATGAACGACATTGATGTATGTAATCA